CAACCTTGTTCATTTCCAGCTTTAGTGCAACTATATTAGTTGCTCTCATATTTAGAATGCTCTTTCACACTTGACAGGAGTGACTACTCCTTTGGTCCACAAATTTCTGAAATTGTCAGTTTGTAGTACCAGCAGCCAATTCAGAATCCTGAAGGCTAACCATCACTAATGCCAGAAGAATTGCCAGAGTTATCTAAAGTGCTTCAGAGCTGCTATCTCTGGAGCTGCCTCACTTGACGTGAACATAAGATATTCAAATACAAATACTTAATATCACAAGTTTTCATTTGACAGTCAAAATACTACACCTCAACTGGAAAAAACATCACATATAAATTATCAGATCAAATCTCAATGCATAACATAAAACAACTAATTACTGAACAGTCCTAATGTAGACAGAAAAGGCAAAAAAGCTAACACCTAAAAGAGAAGAAACACAAGCCACTTAGCAACAAATCTTTAAGTTCTTCTTCTCTCCTCAACAGACAGAACAAGGATGTACCTCATATTTTGTATTGTATTCTATATAAATTATAGGGATACCTAAATATTATATATGGGATATAATACATTAGATACCTATGTGGTGTAAGGATATCCTGAGAGCCTGTGTCTACCATAAGAGATTTCCGAGTGCTCTGTTCAAGTATCACACAACTGATTTTAAACCACTGAAACTGAGCACTTGCACTTGAATTTTGGTTACATACTTTTGACCCAAGAATGATCATTCTATGTTAAAAATAGAACAACACCCTGTTTCAGAGCTTTAGGAGACATACACTTGAAGTTCAAACTAATGTTGCCTTCAGCTTCAGATCACAACAGATGGGATCAGGCAACTTTTGAAGACTTGCCACAAGTACTGTATTCAACCAGCAACGTCCATTTGCCAGACACCTGGTGAAGAGAAACAATAGTCGACAGTTTAGGCACTAGTTGAGAATTGGGGTCACTAAGGATTTCCAACTTCTGCTACAAGTTTCCTGTATAATCTTCAAGAACCCATGGGAGGCAGATGGGAATTAAATCAGAGATTAAGATGCACAAATTGAAATATTTAGACTCCCATTACAATGGAGATTGTCTCTCCTGAATGCTCCCTAATTCTTAAAGCTTCTCTTTAAACTAATTCAGCTGACCCACTAGCAGGGGCTCAATGCAGAGGTCTAAGCTTAGACCTCTGTATCCAAGACAACAACACACAGAAACCAGAAGACCCGTGCTCTTCTGGACCAGAGGCTAGAAGCCAAGGAAGAAACATGATTGTATCTCAAGTGGCAATGCAGAACACCTAGTGTGTAGGTGACACAAGGAATCAATCCCCTGGCTACAAGATACTCTGAATAGTTCTTTGGCTCTATTGACTGGATTTCCATCACAAGCCAAGCCTGCACAATCAACAAAGCTTAGACACTCAACATTAGGCATCTTAATACTGCACAAAATGTAACTTGGAAAGCATAAAGACAGAAACTGAAACTTTTAATTATTTTCTTCATTCACTAAATTGCAGGGTATTACATGATGAAGAAATTTGACCTGCGTGCCTTATGTGAATCACTTCAGAACACATGACATTTCTTCTCAAATACTAAAATGATCACATGAAACTTATGACTTACAATGAACTATTAAGTTTAGAACACATCTGAATAGATGTTTTCCCTTAGAAACGCAAGAATTCACTTTAAAAAATATAATTATGAAAAAATACTACTGTATAAAGGTCAATATTGAATAAAAATCACTGCAAAATTAATGGACTCCAAACATAAAGCTAGCAGACAGAGCAAGTGGTAAAGATCAGAAATTATAAAAGAAACTAAAAGAGATATTAGGAATTACTGGTTTCAAGTTACCAGCTCAGCTATGGACTGGTAACTCAAGAATGCTACAGAGTAATCTCCAGTCACATGCACAAATAAATGCTTTAGTGCGAGCTGACTATGACAACATACATTCTACAGAGTATTGTTCCTCTATTTCAACAGAACCTTTACAATATTAGTTAAGTGAATACCCGTTACAAAAAAAAAAAACCACAAAAACCTCTAGTTTTCATCCTTTTAATGTTGTGAAGACCTGAAAATAAACCAACTTGGAAAGTTCGGTGTAGGTTGAATTCCCTGTGGGCAGTAGTGTCAGAATTACTTAAATAATTTTATAATAACTACAATAATAATTTTATAATAATTATAATAATTTCTAAAAAAAAAGCAAAGCAGAAAGCTCAAAAACTTGGCTACTCCTGCAGAAAATGGTCTATGTGTAAAGTTTTCTTCTTTCCTAGGTTCATTTGGCTCATCCTTTTACCACTAAAGTAGCATGAATGCAGAGCACTCACAAACTATTCAATGCAAACAAGACTGGACTCCAAAGGAAGAAATGTAGAATAATGCTTGTCTTCACACAACACAATACACAGCCTCTCAGAAAGGGCAAATCCTATCTCTTGTCTCAGGCTAGCCCACACCACATCCACTGTAATTAAATAATTTAAAGTTTGCTTTGTCCAGAAGTCATTCAAATCCTACCTTTTAAACTTATACCTTATGAGCTTTGTAAGGCTATTTGCCTGCAAGAAGACTTGCTTATAAAAGAAGAAAAAATAAGATTGCAAAATTGGATTCTATTATTGTTCCTAGATACACCAAATTACAATAGAGTTTCAAAAATATGCCTATGTACCAAAGGTGCACACAACTCAAAAAGTAGCGAAGAAAAAGCAATGCTGCTCTTTCAAACAAGGATCTGGTAAAGAAACAGCACAGTGAGGCTACCAAAAACTTTCTTCCAAGATACTCAAGAGAGCATTTCTACTAACCAAAGTATTCAAAGCTAATTCTGTGCTGCTCTTCCAGTGGAGGCAAGTTGAACACCACTTCTTTTCCAGCCCTATTATAGCAACAAACATCCTAAAACACATAGGCACCTGCAACCCATTATGCAACTGCCAAGAAAAGGGCACACCCTGGCCCAGGCCAAGCTGATCCTGTCATGGAATGGTGCAGTAGAGTTCCTGTCTGCCCCAACACCGCCTTCCCTCTCTCTTCCCCTCTCCTACCAGCACAGATGTGCCTGAAACTGTGCAAGGAGCTGGATAAGAGTTAATTTTTGTGGTATTATTTTTAAACTCACTTTGCTTTTACTGCTATTTAAAAGCCTAGAAAAAGCCTGAGACAACACAGAGACTACACACCTACTAGAAAGCTTCAACTGCTTGACTGGATCTGTGTAAACAGCAAGGATTTACATAAAACTGGAATTCAGGTTGCGAGAAATTTTGGGTATACTTATTTCTCATTTTAGCTCCATTATTTATGCCAATTATAAATATTTTGTCCTTGCATTTCTACGTTTATTTTATGCAGTGGAGTTATCCAACCAAATCAGGTGCATTTTATCGGACAGTATATTCATTCTGTAATAAGAAACAGCAAGTAACCTATTTAGGGCAATAAACCATTTTCAATTCTGTGATAAGAGAAAATTCTTACTCCAGTTCACTAAGGAGAGCACCACCAGCTTTCCACAAATGCAGCACACAATACCAAAACTCCAGTCACTAGCAGATTAAAATAGTTTATAAAGCTCTATGTGTGCAGCACAGAATTCAGTGCTGCATTAGCAGCATTACAATACTCTCTAGTACAGAGCAAATCTGAGAGCCCACTGTATTAAAAATTACATATTAATGATGAAGTTGTATTGTTTTCTAGGAGAAACACCAGATTACTTTAGATAACATCAACAGAATTGATACCTGTACCAAAGACTGTTTCATCCTCTGTAATCTCAAACTCCAAAAGACAGTGTTTTATTTACACTTCCCTGAGACCTTCTATCCCATCCATGGCTAGCACCTACTTTTCTAACTGAGCAACAGAAATATATCATGAAAATACAAACACATTTTTCATCATTGTCATTATTTGTATGTCTGCCAGTATAAACAAGTTTGGCATATCAGAGACATAATCACCAAATCACTTCTTGGTCATTGTGTGTAGCATTTATGCCTAGTACACTTCTGTAGTCAGTGCTGATCTGAGCAATATCAAACAGAAAAACATATGGTTAAAAAGTATATTTTAAGTTAGCAAAAAAAATTTCGACTGTTCTTCAATTAAAGTAATCCTGCTCACCGAGATTACTGAGGTTTTAGGCTGCACAGCATAAACTCAGTTTTCAAAAATAAAACATACAATTCTACTGGAATGAGTTTATTAAAGGGGTTTTTAAGAAAGGAGAAAAAAACAGTAACCCAAACTTCTGCGTTTCCCAAGCTTCCTCGGTTGTGCCCACACCGCTGGAAAGCCACACAACCCCAAAACGACGCGGTAGTGATGACGAGCAATCCGCACAGCTCACACCGGCAGCCACGGGTGCGCAGTGCCGAGGAATAAGGCACGCCGGTCCGAGAACCACAGCCTTCGAGAGAGGGGCAAGGCACAGACCCGAGAGACCTGCGGGGCCCCGGGCTCCCACCGCAGCCGCAGGGCCGGCCGTGGCTGAGCACGGCCCTGCTCGGCCGCAGCCAGCCCGTCGGGCTCCCCGCTCGCTCAGTGCCCGCACGCCGGGTCGGCCAAGCCCCAGTGCCGAGCTCGCCTCCGGCGAATTTCGCTCGTTTGGTGGTGCCGAGACAGCCAAGCCGAACTTCGTGTTTTCCCCGGAGGGCGCCGAGGGCGCAGCGGGGCCGCCCCAACTTGGCCCACCAACAGACGGTCTGTCCGCCTACCCCTGCTCCCCGAGGGCCACAGCCCGGCCCATAGCCCCCACCTCGGCAGCGCACTGAGAACAACAGCCACGTCTGGGCACAGCCCGCGGCCGTGGAGGTCGGAGCTCACTAGGAACAGCACCGCGCTGGGTACCGGAGTACGGGCACACCGGAATCTCCACTCCGGCCGCGCTCTGGGGCCAGGGAGGCCCCTCCGGCACGGCGTCCGCCGCCCAGCTCAGCCCAGCACGGCCCGGCCTGACTCGGCGCCACTCACCTCCTTGACAGGGGGGAATTTTTTCCGGCACTCCAGGCTCAGGCCCCGCAGGTCCCCCTGCATGTTTTCCAGCAGCTTCTTCACGGCTTCGGGGCTGCTGGTCCCGGCCATGGCGCCGCCGGGCCGGCCCCAGGCCGGCACTCTTCTGAGTGGGCAGAGGCAGCGCCTGCCACTCCGCGGCCCCGACCGATACGTCTGCGCCCCACACCGGAACCCTCCAGTCCCGGCCACGTCCCCTCCCCCTGCCGCGTCCCCTCCGCTCCCACAATCCCGGGCGCCGGCAGCTTCCGCACACACGGCTGGGGCGGGGAGAGCGGCGGCCGACGGCAGGGAGGGAGGCGGCGCCCGGACCCTTCCTGCCGGACTGGGCCGGGTGGGGCCCGGGGAGCGGGGCTTTTTCCCCGGGGGTCTTTCCCCGCAGTGTCACTGGGTCGGCGTAAAGGGGCAGGAGAGGTGTTGGGACCTGGGCCGGGGCGGGGCCGTCGGCGCTGGGGAGCTGCCATGGGGAGGGGACAAACCGCGGCGTTCGCGAAGGGTCACTCAGGAAGGAGGTGGTGAAGTTCTTTGGGCTTCAGCAGCCCCCCAACCCCGCCGAGTGGTTATGGAGGTGTTGGGGTCCGTCCCCTCTGGCCAAGTCCGGCTCTCTGGAGTGTTTGATTTAAAAAAAGCAAAAAGCTAGGTATACTGTTTTTCTTTTGAATCCTGAAGTTCTTGCTTTCTTTCCAATGCGAATGATTGTGCACTGAAACAGATTGCCAAGAGAGTTTGTGGAGTCTCCCTCGCTGGAGACTGAAGAACCGTCTGGATACAATTCTATGCAGTGTGCCCTGGGGTGACCCTGCTTGAGCAGGGAGGTTGGACGAGGTGACCCAAAGTGGTCCCTTCTAGCCTTGCCCATTCTGCGGTTCTTCCGCAGGAGTGAAGCTTTGTGCCCTTCTCCCCCCGCCCGCGTGCGCAGTCCTCCGTGGTCTCTAAGCGAAGCGAGCGTGAATCCTTCCTTGAGAACCTTTAAGATAAACACAGGCAGGGAAAAAACAAGGTCGCGTGGAATGGTTGAGTCCCGGGTACCTTCCATGTCACCAGCAGTATCCCTCAGAATTCCATACCAGCAACTTCTAACCCATTTCTAAAGCTGGCTCCTGAACAACCAGCACGAGCTTTTCAGTATGTTACTTGTAGCAATGCAGGGAGCTTGGACCTAATGGTTGCCTGGGAGCTTCCTTCTGAAGGATATCATTCATCATTCACCATTAACAATTAATATTTCACAAAGATTTTGGTCTTTGCCATAATAATTTTTCCATATTCTTGGTACTGCAAATTCTTGCACTGTGCTGACTGCCTACCTGTAATGCAGTGTGGTGCTCTTCCTTGTCTATAAACCCAGTGAGTTGGAAAACGTCCTTGAGTTTTGGCATGCTGTAGTTTTCAAACCTGGGAGTCTTGGGAAAAAAAATTATGAAGAAGACAAATGAAGGACAAATTTTTACTGCTATATAATTTTAAAAATTTTAAGTGACAGCTTTTCTTTGGACTTTCCTGAAAGTCTTCAGTCTTACTCAGACAACGTTCTAATATTTTAGGGTTTTTGGCTTGTAATGAAAAAGTAAAAACTTTTCACAAATTTGAGCATCTCTACTTGTATGTTGAGTTCATTTACTGTGAAAACCATTGCAAATGATGTAGCTGTGGAAAGGGGTTTTAACCCTTTAAGTGCGGTGGAAATAAGATGCACAGCTACATGGTCGTCTTTCATTACAGGAAGAAAGAGACAAGTTTATTCAGAAACACACTTGATTTTATAGCATGACTCACAATTCCAAGAGTAGAGAGGAGGTGATTGGTTCAGAAAGAAGAAACCCCATTCCCAGGGCCTGGTCACGTACCACAACAGGTGTTCTATTTTTGTTATTAATTCCTTTTTATTTTGACCAAATTATCACCCTGGGAGAAATTCTCCCTAGCCTTGAGCTGGACCAGCTTATTGGCTGGGAACAGAGCTGAAAAACTCCACCCTGAAATATTTTTCAGGCTGTAATTTTCTTACTTTCTCAATATGTGTCCCACAAAATTATACAGTAAACAGGCTCCCACTGGCACAGCACTGACTGTACTTGTATATATAAGTCTTCAGGGGTGCTATGTAAAGAGCGCAGGATTGTTTACTAAGTAATTTGTTATTTTAAGATCTTTATTTTTATATTGTTTTCAACGTACTGACTGTTAGCTTGGCAGAACTGGATAAATGGAAGTGAGTTTTTTAAAACTGTGTAATGCTGCCTCAATTCAATTAGGTGGTCAAGCTTTATGTGCCTTCAGACAAGGAATTAGGATTTCACCCCTGTGTCCAGTAAAAGCAGACGTGATTCTATAACATTGTTATACTTTCAAAGTACCTTGGTCTGTGCATTCTCAAAAGCTTTGATTTTTCTATGCTTACTTAAACAAAACCCCAAAAAACAACAAAAGAAAAAGACTTGTCTTCAGTGGAACGATTTAATGCTTATCCAATAAGCATTTTCCTAAGGATTTTCTCATCTTAGTGCATCTGTTCTGGGCTTCAGGCCTGACGCAATTCACAGACCAGTCCAAATACCTTAATATGAAACATGGATGATTAGCTAGGAGAACAAATAATTAATTCATTTTTGACTGTGCACATATATTTCTTAGGTAAGCTTTAATGATTTACTTCCTTTTTGTTGTTTGGATTTTTCCACGGATTTACTGTACATAGTAAGCCATGGACACATTGATATTCCCTGAATCTACTTGTCTGCCTGTTTGTATACAGGTATAATTTACATTGATCATACATATCTTGCTTATATATGCTCAGCGTTGCTAGCCAAATGCTGCAAGATTGTTCATGAGTTTGGAAATGAATCTTAGAGTTTGTAGAATTCTTACAGTTGTAGAATTGAAAACTCTCCTGGGTCCACTGAATACAAGAACTGGGAACATGTGCCTGAATGTCAGACATGTCTCTTCAACAACAAGGTCATCTTTCTCACCAGTTTGATGTATGCCTTTTGTAAATTTATCAGAGATTTGTCAGTTAATCTAAATCAGTGCAGTTAAATGTTTAAACTAGCCAGGATCCTTTTTGAGTGATGCTCTTTTGATTGTGAATGCGACTTCTGCAGTTGCATTTCATTGCAATAGATTCTACTGCATATAGTCCTAACCCTCAGCAGAAATGCTTGCCAGTCTTTTGTAGACTTAAATACCCCGGTTACAATTCAAGTCACTTTTGATTCAGATGGTGGTGCAGCATATGTGGACATCTCTGAGAGCACATTTTTGATCAGCAGGCTAAGAATGCTGCTTAACTGTTAGACTGACTTAATTGGGAATGGTACACATGCCTGCATCTCAGGTGCATCTCTCAGCTTTTAGGCTAACTTTGTATTGCACTGCAATTATTACATTGTGGTTTGCATTGTTATTAAATGATATGTTATTTTGTGATGGGCAGCGGGTGATTGAAATAATACCCTGTAGCTTTATGGCCCTAATTACCAAGAAAAATGCTCATGAGACCTATTGTGACTCATTAAGATACCTTATGTTCATTGCAAATGATGCACATCAGACCTTTTAATTGATTAAACATGGGATAGCATTCAACTGTATTAATTTCAGGTGTTTAGTCCTAGTTATAGCCCATCCTGGTAGATGTGTGCAGATGCAGACTTTGTATACAAGAACAGAGTTCTGTCATCATGCTATACAAAGGCAAAACTATCAGATTTCATTCACTGTGCCAATGAATTGGTTTCATCGTAATGGGAAGAGCTCTGATTTTTCTCTGAGTTCACTTTATCTATACTCCTGTATACTTCTGTAAGTGATATGAATCTGTAAGTACACTACAAAACTAACTTCAGGATACGAAAAATCAATTGTGTGGAAAAGTAAAGGTGTTTGCAGACATCTCTGGTGATTTTTTTTGTACTGCAGAGTTAAGAGTCACGATGGAGAAAATTTTGTCTCAGATTGAACATAGATACTCATACCAAAAGACAAAGTTAAATTTTAAATTAAAAGACAGTGAGAGATGGATTAATACCAAATATATCCTTGTCTCGGTTTGAAAGACAGGTATTTTGCTAAGGAAATGCGAGAACCCCCTTCCTGAGATGCAGAGTGCAACCCCTTCCCTTCTAATTATTATAGTTTCAAATCAGAAGCCTTCAGGCAGGAGATGTGGGGATAGGAATAACAGTTCTTTACTGATATCTAACAAGGCAAAACAGCAGAAACAACAACAGCTGTAAAAATTGACAGCAAAACAGAACAGTATAGCTCAGTTCCAGTCCCCTTTGGCCACAGGCTCCCTCTCCCTGCGCTCAGTTCCCGGTGCTGTGGGCAGGGCAGGGCCCGCGCAGCTGAAGGGGCTGGGTGATGGCGGCAGCGGCCCAGGGCTGAGAGGGATGGAAGAGCCACTCCCCCCTCACGGTGTCGGTCGTGGTGCTCGGCAGAGTGTCCGGAGGTAGTAGGATGAAGTGGGAGAGCAGCAGAGCGGTGTTCGGAGGCAGGGAGCGTGGATCTCGGCACTGGCATGGCGGGAAGATGCTGGATCGGAGCACGGGTCATCCTCCTTCCACTCCACGAGCCAAGCGAGAGCGAGAGAGAGCGCCCAGGCCCCTGTCCCACCTTTCCTTTTCCAGTGTCCCCCTATCCCCCACCTCCCTTCGAGAGAAAACTTGCTACTAAGGTGTAGCCACAAATACTTAGCATAACAATGGGAAAAATTCCACAGAAAGAAAAGGGAACAATTCAACCCACAACAATCCTGTAGCCTTTTATAAAAACTATGCATTGTATTGGTCTATGTAAACACAAAGAAGCCCTTTACTATGTGAACCCTTCAGGAACTCCCTAAATTATAGATCAAAGAAGTGGAGCAAGAGAGTATTTGTTGTGACACAAATGGGTTAAAAGAAGTAATAAACTCCCCCCTTAGTATATGGTATTCTTTGGGGTTTTTTTACGGAATACAAGTGAAGTCCTTGTCCCTTCAGGATGTGGCTGTGCAAGGAAGTTAGATCTACCAGCAGACTGAAAAGTATGTTTTCCAGTGTAAACTCTTCATTAATTTAGCCTGTGTTCCTTTCTGCATAGGTGTGAGCATATGTTTACATGTTAGTACCCATTTTGTTTGTATGCTTACAGTTAATACACATTTTAT